GGCATAGCATGTGTGTTATTTGCTTGATTCATACACATATGCTACCCCCCAACCCTTGTTTGCCAATGTAAGACTTCAATGAATGCACTTTTTGTACAGAGCTAACCTTCTATGTGGCCTAGTTAACCGATGCCTGGTTCTTCTTCCAGTCTCTACTCCATCTAAGTGGAGCTCAGGGCTATGGAGCTTGGAGCTGAGGGTGAGTAAGGAGGACGTCCCCTAGAGCCTGATCTTATTTAGGATGTGTTCCAAGTACCTCCTGCTTGATAAAGATTTCTCATCATAACTGAAATCATTTGCACTTTAAAAACAATATCGCCTAAACACAACTTTGTAGAAGCAGAGCATGGAGAAAAGCACACTGAAGTCCAGGAAGACTGGAAGGAAAAGCACACTGAAGTCCATGAAGTCCACTGAGGATCTACATCTCATTTCCCTATAAAACATTTAGGCACTTCACTGATGAGTGTTGTAGAAAACTAAAGAATAGACTAAATGGCATAGGTCCCAGTTCAAAACCTATGGAAGGGAATGAAAAGACTTCCATTGATTTCTTTGGGATTTGGAGCAAGTCCAAGATTGGACAAATAAATAGTGTTTTTGGCTTGCCAACTATGATAATATCCTTTTGGGGAATTCTGAAGCTCCTAGTAAAATAATGTATAGAATTACTGAAAGTGAGGTACCTGATACTTACGCTGTTCTGTGGATACAAATTATTTCACCTCTTCCAATCAAACACTCATTTGCTCATTTGCAAGGTCTCAAACTGACAAGTGTGATGTATGGAAAGCATTTATTGAAGTAAAAGAGATGTTTACAATGGGGATGCCTTAGGATCAGCTCTCCCGCTGTACTCATCCAAGTTCAATGACAGCTTAGAGGTCTTGGATTGAGTTACTGTCCATGTTCCATGATAGGTTTTATTTTCTTTCTTGCACATCAGCGGCCTGTTATTTCATGGCTTCCACGAATGTTGAAAACAGTTTGTTCCTTTCTACCTGAGCATGTAAAAACTATTGGAATGTGGTAAAGTGACTCCATAAGTCATACGTTTGCAACGGGTGCTGGATGCAGAAGGGACTGTGGTTTGGAACATGACCCCCTGTTGAAAGAAGTTGAAGACTGGTGGGACTCTGAAAATATTTTGACAACATCTGCCACTAAAAGCATAGAGCAGAAAGGTTGTTCTGTTTGGCAAGGCTGCTATTTTGTCAGCACACACTTATTTCTCATTCAGGCTGGAAAATGCATGGAATATGGGAGTGGGGGGGGAATCCACAAAGGTTTGGTCTGCCTTACCAAACCTAAATCATAACCCTTCCAAAACTATGTTGAGTTCAGTTCACTTTCAGTCCCTAACATTAAGTTTCTAGGCATCCACACAAGCAGTGGGGGTGAACCTTCTCAGCAAGTCTCCAATAAACTGATACCTTTTCCCTGCATGCCACTCCAATTCCCTTTTCTCAGCCTGGTCTGCTGCTCTGCCCCTCTGCTGCTCTGCTTTCTGCTTCCTGCCCCATCTTTCACCCTGCTCCCTCCTGGATGCGCCATATGCCCCACACAGGGGCTGTCCACACCACTTGTGCAGGTTGTTCACCCCTGACCTAAAGCTTGGTGCAAGTTGATGCCTCTGATAACAGTAAATGTGTATATGTGTGGTCCTCACAAACTCATGCTTCCAAAACCTTCATTGTATCCCTTTGTCCACCTAGCTTTCTGACATACGAACAGTCCAGCTGGGAACAAATTTGTCCCTGGAATCAGCAGGTGTCCTGGGCAGTCAGAGAATTGCACCTCTCGATGCCATGGGTAAAAGCATCCCTTTGTCACCACATAACAATTCTGCAGTAAATTCACATTCCAAATTATAAACCCCTGAAAAAGAATAATGAACATGCTGACACGGTCTTAACTGTTGCGGTATAAATGGCGTGGCTCTAATAATGAAATCAAAAATCCTTCTTAATCCCACTCTTTCCCTAAAGTGGTGTTATGCATTAGGCACGGATGAAAAGACAAACACGTACATGTATATTCAATAATAATGTTGGCTAGGTCAGAGACGAATAGGAAATGAAATGAATTCATAACACCTCCAGAGATAGCTCTCTGATACAGGCAGTTTTCTTTTTGATTTACCCTCATTGACTGTGTTCATTGTAACTTTAATACATCTACCAAATTGTCCTTTATTAACTGCTGCCCTGATATTACTAACAAATTCGAGCTGCAATCTCCAGTCATGTGTTCTCGAGGTTAACAGCTGCACAGCACAGTGCTGTATAGATCATATGCATATTTACAGGGATCTCACATTGAAGAGGACCTAATTTCATGTTCAAACCATACAGACGGTGCTTGAAAGTGCTGCAGACACAGAGCTCTTCTGTGTCAGGGCTTTGAGGGTACAGTGCATTACTTCTCTAGGCATGATGATAGTGAAACAATTACCTTGGATTAAGGTGGCTGGCAATCTTGAAAAGTCCTTATTCGGCTTTGAGTGTGATCAGATGCCACCTGCTTATAAATGAGAGTTAATAGAAACATTAAATGTGCAAGCCACCATGACCCATATCTCCAGAATATTAAGCACATTTAAAAATAACTGAAGACCATCTAAGTCCTTTGCTTTCTGTAAAAATATTACCCTTTCTAACCAGCATCCTCCGGGAGCAGGTTATCTGAACTCTTGAACGTTCCACTTTCATTTGTGCCTACTGTATATTTTTTAATGCATTCCCTCACTTCTCCCTCTACTGTATATTTATTGTTGGTGCGTTATTCAGTTTCTCTTTAATTATTCCATCTGCCACTTAAGGGTGATGGGTTTTACAGGCTGTGTAGTTTAGTTGTTTAACCTTTGAGTGGGGTAACTGAATGTGATGACGTATACCTCATTTAGCACAACAGACTGAAAAGAATTATGTACTCCAAGTGATAAACTTGGAACTGCTGAAGAAGGACCAAAATCCAATTTTTTTCCTCTCTCCAGTCTTCTAAACATCTATTAGTCTCATGAAAGGAACTCATAAATCCTGAAAATTTAGTTTATCTGTAACCAGCTCCAACAGTTGTCCTTCCTACTAATCATATTTTATATCTATTTTATACTTCTCAATATTCAATAAACATGCCTTGTGCTTACTGCACTTGTTATAAAGTGTATGCTGTGGACACTTTCTAGAAACCATTATTAATCGACCACTTTATAGGATGGCTTGGGTAGTGTCGTAGAGGAACTCATTTATCTTTTTATGCTTGCTTCTTTGTTCTTTCCATTTGTCTAATATGGAGTTTCCTTTTTTCTTTTGGTTCATTTCTATCACAATATGTCAAGAAGGGATTTAATATGTAACAAAATGGGAAAAAAAACAACAACCCTGCAATGGCTAGAATGAAAAAAACCCTTCAGGCTTAATTCATGAAAAGATCACTTGCATTATTTCTTCTTAGATCTGTGCTTTTTTTTTAATAATATGGACTGCATTATCTAGAAGTGCTTCTTTAAAGAGACAGATATTTTACATATTAAAGTGAGATGTCAGTTTAAAGGAGGAGTTTAAGCCTGAATTAAAGTTAAAAATGATGTGGCCTCATATGAGGCTGGTCTGACTTTGTCTGCAAAGTATATAATGAACCTTGCTGATAACAGCTTAGGCTTTGGATAGATTAAGGTGCAGCGATAGGTTGTGAATGGCACAGCAAGTAATGCCACAGAGAAACAAATGAATGTGTCTGCTAGAGATAAACAACATAAAAAGTTCCTGTTCATCACCAAAACCCAGACCTCTAAAGATTAATATTTACTGGAGATTTCTTAGTTTTAGAAGACTTGGTCTTAGGTTTTACGGGTTCACATTTTACAGGGAAGCATCTGCCATATATCAAGAGGTTAATGACTAGTAGTTTCATGTCCAGATACTTTGTAACCACTGAGCTGCCCGACAACAGAGGTCACTAGAAGACTGATGACTTACAAACCTGTTAAAGTTCTCCTTGCTCTTTCCCGTTTTCAGAGCACCAGCAGGGTTGGACCTGGCTGATATTTGACCACTGGGAATACTGTCCCCACTTTAGAATTCCTTAATACCAGTAGACTGTCATGATTTACTGGTCAGCTTCAAACAAAAAAAATACCATCCTCACAGAGCACACATTGATTGTTACGGTTATTTAAAGACTAACAGTAAAAATTCATAGACTCCAGTCTCCATCAAAACAAAAAGGAATCAGTAATTGCAATTTGGGAGTCTCCTACAATGACTAAAGGAGAGAAAGGAAGCTTGTCAGTTTTAGTGGATGTCACAACAGTTCTCGTATATACACGGTGTGTCTACACATGCATTTAAGCGCGCCTACATTTAATGCGCATTAGTTTAATGCTCATTAAGTGGGTTTAGGCAAGCATCTACATGTGCAGGTGCATTAACGCTGTCTGTGGACTGACATGGGACTGAAGTTAGTCCAAGTAAGTCAGTCCACACACCCAGTGTTAATGCGCTTTAACACATCTACACATGCATTAGTGCGCTTTAAGTATTTGCGCCTAAAGTGGATCAGTTGTTGAGCATGATTAGCCCAAAATCACCATTTTTAAAGCACATTAAGGGCACACATGTGTCAATGTGTGCCCTAAGGCACCTTAAATTTAGGCTAATGTGCCTTAAAGCATCTCGTGTAGATGCTCCCACAGATTTCTTATTTCATCATCTAGTGATAAACGAATTTGGCCTTGAGAAGGGATTGGATAAAGGTAAAAATGGACCTAAAAGAAGCGGCTCACTGTGATCCAATCACAAGTGTGGATATGTGGAATCTGGTTAGGAGCCTTTGTCTGTTCATGTTTCTGTGGTCATTTATATTGTAGGAGAATGAAGAATCTGGAGGATTGTAGAACCAAGTAAAAATGGCTAGGGGTTGGATTCAGCCCTTAATTTATAAAATGATGTAATTCATAAATTAAATGTAATGTTTGGTTGTCTCTGTCTCTCTTTTAGAATGCTTGAAGATGATCTGAAACTCAGCAGTGACGAAGATGACAATGAACAGGTAAAATATCTGACGTGCATATGGCATATTTTGGGAAATGCATTTTCATCTATTGAATGTGAATGTATATTGCTTTATTATATGCCTATCAAATCAATTTCTGTGCGGGTTTCTATATCTGTTATCGTAGGCTTTGTCTACCCATATAGCTATATAGTTAGTCTCTTACAACTGTACTTTCTCACTCCACAGAGTTACGGCTTCTTCTGAACTCAGAGTGCCTTGTTCCAGTTTTGTTTAATCCACTGTAAAAGTGGATTAAGTGTTTTCCTTTAAATCCCCACCTTACTGTAATCCAAATTCACTTCAAAGTGTAAAAAAGCTCTTAGATTTAGGTTTATTTCACCAGTTAATGGTCCTGACCCCACTCCTTGCACTCAGCTTTCACATTATTTACTATTTCCTGGGACTGTCTTCTACTTGCTTTGCCCTGTCAGTGCAAAGGGGTCAAGAAGGCTGAAAGCGGTGAGAAATCAGGTCCTTAACTTCCGTTCCAGCCAGTGTGCAGTGGGCTTGGAATCTGTGTCACCAACCCAAACTGAAAAACCAGTGATATATACCTACTTGTGAGAGGTAAAGCTTCAGGACTTAGCTGTGAATCAATAGCAGACATCTCTGAGTCGATGTAGGACATTAATGAAAAATCGTTTGCAAAAAACTTGCTGATGCCATTGTCCTTCCTTCTATTTTACATTATAAATATTTACAGTCATTGCTGAGAAATCAAATAGCTAGAATTCATTTGTTCTACATTTTCATTAAGAAAGACTCAGGGCCTGTGTTGAAATTTTTCCCTGGTGTAACTTCATGGAAGACAGCAGAAAAATTTCCCTCCATATCTTTTAAAGCAAAACAGTTTAGCAATGCTAATACCATCCAGTTTTCATGTTTCTGTAATAGTCATTATGATGTGTAATGGGAAGCCTTGTGCACATTCTTATTTTCTTCCTCAAAAGGGCATTATTCCAATACTCAGATCATCACTAGGACTATGAAAAAAAGAACGATATTGATGTCCATAAGGATGTCTCCTTAGTTACAGCCTGACAAATGTTAGCTGAATGTTCTCATTTATTTGTCAAATCACCTGAATTCTCCCCTCTATCCTGCTTCTCCTTCTCTTTATGGATATGCCATGAAATATTTACATTCTAATGTCAGTTGACTCCTGGATCATAAAAGTCATCATTGCTTAACGCAGTATCCAGGTGCCATGCACTCAGATCACAAGTCAAAAGATTGAACGCCTACATTTCTGCACTGCAGAGCTCTATAACTTTGTGTAGCATGTCTGAATAACCAGTTTACTGTTTTATTGGAAATGTTAGTTGAGGAAAATTGGCCAAAGAATAACTTAAAATGTAACAGTGAGAATGAGAGGCCCAATATGATCGCTTTGCGAATAACAGTACCAGATCAAAAACACAGTATTGACCAGCAGCCTGGCATTTGGGGCCTGGTTCATTTCTCACACTTGTTTTATCTGTTTTTTATTATATTCAGCAGAATTACCCCACACTTACATCGGTATAAGTGAGTACACAGTCAGGCACAGCGGGCACATCTACACATACATTTACTCCAGCCTAGATTTACTGTGCAATAAAATACTCTGAAGTAAGGGTTTTTGGGTAGGTGTCTACACATCCAGAGATTAGGGAACAAATTTTCTCCAAGTTCTCTGCAGCCCTGCCATGGGCTTCTGAGGCCACTGGGGGAAGTTCCAGGCTCCCTATGGGTGCTAGTCCAGGGGCTGGCAGGGAGCATGGAGACAGGAGACAGCTGTCTTCTTGCCCCAGGGACTGCCTGCTGCTGGGGCAGGGAAAAGATCCCCATGCCCCAGCAGTAGGAAGCTCCTGGCCTTGGCTCCCCAATCAGGGGTATGGGGCTTAGAAAGAACTGCAGGGGAGGGGTAGGTCCTATCCCCCTGCCCCAATCTGCCAGTTGGGCAGCTAGCAGCTAGCTCACTGCTTGCTTCCTCACAGACTGATTTGGGGTGAGGGTCTGGATATACCCCACCCCTGCAGCTCTTTCCAAGCCTCATGCCTTGATCACCCGATTGTGACATGGGGCTGGTATCTGCTCCTGACTGGGACAGTTTGTAGCCAGCCCCAGGCTGCGCGGGGAAGTCTGCATGTCCAGCCTGGAGCTGGCTGGGGACTGCCCGAAACAGGACAGTCCCCAGCCACCTTCAGGCTGCATGTGCTTCGCTGTGCAGCCTGGGTCTGGCTGGGAAATGTCTCGGTCGGGGGCAGGTCCCAGCCAGCTCCCAGGCTGGGTGGGGTACTGTCCCCATTCAGGAAGCAAGCTCCCAGCCCCCGCTCCACAACTGCAGAGCAGGGGCTGGAAGCTCCCTGCTGCCTGGGCAGGAGGACATTGTCCCCACCCCAGCATTCAGGGCAGGAACTGGGGAGCTTCCCCCCTCTGGCTCCATAGGGCTGGGGGTGAAGGAAATAGGCTCCTCAGCCTGTTCCACCCCCAGCCCTGTGCTCCACAGTCATGGGGATTAAGCTGAGAGACCCTTATCTCCCAGATGGAGCCCCACAGTTGCAGGGCTCAGACTAAGAAATAAGGGTTTTCCAACCCAAGCCCAACAGCCACAGAGCTCAGGCTGGGAAATAAGCATTTTCCAGCAGTGGCCCCACAGCTGTGGAGCTGCTGCTGGGAGATAAGGTTCCCCCAGCCCCCCACTCCTCAATAGCGATTGCGGAGCAGGGACTGGTAGATCAGGATCTCCCAGCCCCCTGTCCCCAATTGTGATCTTGGAGCAGGAGGCTTGAAGCTCTCAGCTGCCAGGGCAGAGGGGCATAGTCCCCTCCCAGGCTTCTGTGGCAGAGCCCATTCCAGCAGCAGGCAGCTCCCGGGAGTAGGGAGTGAGCCCCTGGTGGATGACTGACTGGGAGCAGGTTTTGCTCCTGGACAGACGTATACATAAGTGCTCCAGCGCCTTTACTAACCCCAAGTCTATTTGCTACTTGCATTTGCAGGTTGCAGATGTACTTGGGATTAGGGAAGTTTACTGCAGAGTAATCATGTGCACATGTAGATGCACATGCTTACTTCGCAGTAAACTTCGCTAATGCAAAGTAAACATCTTGGGTAGATATGCCCAGTAATAAGTAGGAAAGGGCCAGATCTGAAGCCTACTGAAGTCAATGGAAATGAAAGTCCGTGTATGGATTTAACCAGACTTAATTCCAGTCACAAAGATGTGAAGTCTGAAAGCTCCGACACTATATTAAGTCCAAGGATTACTTTCTAGCAACACAAATTTCAGAGGAAAAAAAGGAATTAGTTAAGGTAGGAAGGAGCATTCTAATGGTTTCCTAATTTTTTGCTGTAACGATTTCCTTTTTAGCATTGTGACCTTTCTCCCACACTAAGCAATTAGAATCAGTTCAAACCTCCTGTACTCTCCCAAGCATCTTTTTTAAAAAAAAAAAACAACAGGTGTTTTGTCTGCACATTTAGGCAGTCCAAACCTGAACACTTTCAATCAGGTATGAAACATAAATTATCACAATAGGAAGAACCTCTGAAATGCCCATCGTTTCAAGGGGTGGTACTCTTTTCCTAGATTCCCTGCCATTGCGTGGTTGTGCCACTTCTATTTACAGCAAAAACAGAGAATCATGAAGAAGGGGCCATAGAAAGCATTACATTATTTTACATTTCAAAAAGGAATCCTACCACATTTTGTTTCCTGCATTAATCACTTCTGTGTATCCCTCACTTTTTATTTTTGTCACGTTGTGTCCCATATTTGGGCATCTGCTAGTTGAGAAATATAGCTCCGATGCACCAGTCAGTCATTACACTGGCACATTTTTCATACCTCAGCAACTTCAACTCATGTCTCTTTAAAAAAAAGAGACACAGAAACTGAGAAAAAAGAGGCGAAAGAAGTAGATCAGGCATACAGGTCAGATGCATAAACATCAACAAAGCAATTACAATGGTTTTCAATACAAACCATTATTTCCTGAAACATATAAAATGCTCATTCATGAGAGCTGGAATGAGGCAATTATAATATACAAATTATAAGATACCAACTGTTCAGGTGTGGGGCCCAGAGTTACACAAATACATTTTTTAACATAAGATTTTACAGTCAAATGACCATCATAATTCAGAGATATATATGTGCATATTGCAACTGGAAGAGAAAAGATTAAAATCTCAGCTTGAAAACGGTTTAGCAATTTGTGCAAAATCTCTGAATTTTGTTTCTTCTCTCTTTTTTCGCTTTCTGATTATGTACCCGGTCCCCCAAAATTACAATTATTGTACTTTATAAAGCTTCATGTGCATACCAAGCACAAAGTTAAGGGTACAAACTCTTACTCTTGCTGATGCTTTTAATTGAAAGTAAATAATTATGCAATATATTCTTCCTTCTGTTTTAAGGAAATGTAGTCCTTGAGAAGGGGAGTGGATTAGCATCACTGGAGACTGTAATTATATTTGTTGTGTATTGATAAATAGTCCTTGTGCCCTGCAATTGTAGACAGATGAAACTCCCATTAAAATCCAGGATGATCTTATCTTTAGCAGCACTGCTCCACTCAAGTGCCTGTACTCTAACTTGTAGTGACCACCTGAGCCATGGGAAGGGCATTCAAGTTCTCAGCAACTAGTGCCACTTTGGGAATGGTGGTGGTTGATACCTGAGGACACAAAATTATGAGTATTTAGTTCCCCCAGTCCCATGAACCAGCACATGTATTTTGAATCAATCATGTAACTACGCAAGAGCCCCACACTTAAATCTAGACTTTCTTCCTGCATTCTCCAGGTGTTAATCAAATTCTTGCCTTTACATTTTCTGGGAGGCACCAGTTGAACACGGGCTCCCAGTGCAATGCTGTAGCTAATCGGCTGGACCAATTCTTGGATGTATAAGCAGAGAAATACCAAGTAAGAGTCAGGAGGTGGGATTACCTCTAATGACAACATTATTGAGACCATTATTGAATATCATATCCAGTCTAGCCTCC